TCGACATCTTCAAGTATCTTGCAATACGTTTTGCGATCTTCCAGTCCTTTGTCGTTGGCTTGTGTGTCTGCCTAGTTACCTTGTGAACAGCAAAGCAGATATCAGGACGCGTGCACCTTGCTATCCACAACAGGCTCCCAACCAGCGACTGGAACGACTTCACACTTGGTTCGCCCTTTGCACCAGGTATTCTACAGTGTCCTCGTCTTCTGCATTGCACTCGTCCCCGATTGGGGTCCTCACCCCATTAGCTGAATCCAGTCCGAACTCCTTTAACAGTAAGTCGATCATGACTTCTTGGTCCAGAACGTATCCTGTCTCGTCGTTTAAAATTGATTCGTAAACCAAGAAACTTGTTGACGACGCCTAGGTCCTTGATGGACAGCGAGCTCATCTACATGAAAAATTCATCCACGGCCCCTTGCTCAGTCCCTGTGACCAATAGGTCGTCCACGTAGACGCCAACCACCGTGCACGTCTCACCCTTGTACTTGTAGTACAAGCACATATCCGTGGTGCATTGTTGGAAACCACCTTGACGTAGCTTTAAATCAAGTAATTTACTCCAAAGCCTTCCAGCTTGCTTGAGGCCTTACAGTGACTTCTCTTCAACAGGAGGACCAGGTCACTTGATGTTTCCACGCCATGCAACTTAAGCTCTTGGTCACTCAAAACCATGCCCTTGGGCGCCTTCATATAGATGTCAAGGTGCTCCTCCTTTTCAGCTCTTGACGTAGGCATTGGGAACGTCACCATGTCGGGCAGGCACGTTCCAACGCCTGGAGAGCACCAAAATCAACTTTACCGTTGCCAAATCCATGACGGCAGCAAACGTTAGGGTATAATCGACACCAAACACTTGCTCGTTCCCACAGACCACCAGGCGAGCCTTGTACCTCTCCACGTCCCCGTTTGCATCAGTCTTGGTTTTATAGACCCACTTGTTGTGCAAGACGTGTGCACCTTTCGGTGGTAGTACAATCGTCCACACGCCGTTTGACTTCAGAGCATCCAACTCTTCAGTCATAGCCGTGGTCCATTTCTGGCGATCACCACTTCGCATGGCTTCGCCATAGTGCTTTGGACCTTGAGCGATGACTGCATTCACGACATCCTGTCGTTCAGCAGGGCCTTTACCAACAACTTTCTTAGCACGTCTGCTCGTTGACCTTGTGTCGTGTCGTTCCCTAGTCCATCCGGGCTTACGGCCACTTCGAGCTTTCGCCGCCCGTTTCTTGACACTTGAAGGTACTTGAACCTTCTGTTGATCATCGGTTGATATCTCCTCCTGATGTTCAATCCTTTCGGTGTACGAGTAGTCTTGACCGTTACGCCCATCCGACAGTGTTTCGATGTTGCGTACGTGCTGCGTTACCACGACCACCTTGTCCTTGGGGATGTACACTTTGTACCCCTTCGTCTCATTACTCTTTCCAATGATGATGGCCGCCTTCCCTCGCTCTCCAAGTGATTTGTTCCTTGCATCCACGTGCACCGTGCACGTGGAGCCGAACGCCACGATGTCGTTCAGGTTTGGCACCTTCGTGGTCAAAAATTCCATCGGAGACACCCCACCTGGATTCGACTTGGTCCTGCTTCTGTTGAGAATGTAAGTTGCATACTCAGCAGCGTCGCCACAGAAAAGCAAAGGCAGGTGTGAAGCAAACACCATGCTTCGGACCATATTCATAATTGTCCGATGCATCCGTTCAGCTTTGCCGTTACTTGCCTGATTTCTGGCTTCACTGACTTGACGCGAGACTCCATTCGTCTTAAAAACACGTCCAAGGTCTTGTATTCGCCACCTCCGTCCGTGCGTAGTACGTGGATATTGCAATTGAACTCTCGTTCAAAGCTCATCAGAAAGTGCTTGAACTTGAGGGCAGCAACATCCTTGGATCTGGCCAAGAATACACGGCAATAATTTGACCTGTGGTCAATGAAATTGACCAGGTAACGGTTACCCAGGCGATCCCTTGGAGTCATTGGGCCCTTGAGGTCGGAGCAAATTACTCCACCGATCACATCGATGGGAGAATTTTGGCCTGAGTCTTTTCGTGACTGTGATGCTTTGGTTTGCTTGCCTTGTGCACAGGCCAAGCAATTCATGCGCCTCGTGTCAGTCAGCCTGATACCAGATGCCGGGTCTTTGGCCATCTTGATGATCGTTTCGTACCCAAGCGACGATGGAATTGCATCAAGGTACCACTCTGAACATCCGAATAGGATTTATATTCAGGTGAATTGATCGCAGCCGTCATCTCCCTTGGTGGTAAATGTGAGGTCTTGTTGCATGGTCCTGTCACTGCAACAACTAGCACATTGTTATTGCACTCCACATCCATAACCGGTGCACCTCCAAAACCAGAGGTTAACACAAGTCTCCCTCCTCGGTACTCAAGTACACATCCCTTAGCCTCAAGCTTACCATACGAGATGATGTTTCGCTCGAGGTTCGCGGCGTACTGTACATCGAGAAGTCGGATAGAATTCACAACCCCGAGTGCAACAACTTCAATGTTGACACTCCCTTGCTTGGTAATCCGGAGCACACCTCCATCTGTTGCAGCTGTCAAGCATTCGTTTCGACAGTCGCTCGGGTTGACGAGCAGAGACAAGTCGTTGACAAGGTGTCTGCTCGACCCACTGTCGAGGATCCAGTGATTGTCTTGGAGACGATCACCATTGTCGATCGCAAATGTGAAACTTGGTCTTGGGACTTTGGACATCTGTCTCTTGGGGCACATCGACTTGATATGTCCCACCTCGCCGCATCTGTAGCACGTTCGTTGGTCATTGTCATTTGATTCTTTCAGTACCTTGTGCTTGAACTTGTCTCTTGACTCCTTTCTTGGTTCAACAGCATTGACCACGTCACGTCCGAGATGCTTCGCGTGGTTGTCAATCTCCGTTGACTGGGAGAACTGTGCCAATTCCTCGGCTTGGCGCAAGCAGTCGGTTCGATGAATGTCCAGCCTGGACATCATGGTCATTCGCATATGCGGGTCTGCATAATGGACGATGTTATCCAACACCAGGGTATCTGCCCCTCCGCAAGCATCACTGACTGCCATCAGGTACAGGAAATGGTCCGTCCAACTTATGTGAGGTGCCTTGGGAGCCGTAAACAATTTCATGCTTTGGGCAGGCGTGATTTTAGTGCTGAAGGTCTGAAGCAGCCTTTGCATAGCATGCTCCAGGGTTTGACTTTCACACCACCAAGTCTCCACTTGACGACGATAGTACGTCTGTGCCTTACCGGCCAGGTGTTGTCCTAAGACATCCACCTTGATGTCTTCCGGCCACGTGAATCCACACGCACGCTCGGCAAAACCAACTTGACGCACAAATTCCTTGCCCCATCCGAGGAAACCACTACCAAGGCCATGGTATAGTACCTTACCATCAAAAGCTTGTAGTGCAAGCTTCCGATGTTGCGCGTCTGGCATCCCCACAACCTGTTGTCTTAGGTTTGCATGCATCACGTTCGGCATACCCGCGCCGGGGTAATAGCCTGGTACCCCTGCCATAAATTGTGCAGGTTCCGGCGCTTATCCCATGTTGCGGTTTGCTTCAACATGGCCTGCTCGATGATTTGCATCATCAGCTTCGTAGTGTCGTCTGGCTCCAAAGCACGTAGCCGGCGACACGTCGTTCGGTGACCTCTTCCGGGGAGGGGTAAGTTCCAAAGCCTGGATGTTCATCTCTCCACCCGCTCCCAGAGCCGAACCAAAGACGCTTGACTCCGCAGAGTCCTTCCGGTGTCCACCGGCATGCTCCTTCTGGGAGACCTCCATCCGATTCAGCCGATCAGATAGGTCTCCGAGCATGGCAAGCACCTTGCCCAGTGCCGCATCAGGCACTGCCGACTTTTCTTCGAGGTGGTCTTCGTTAACCCGATGAGGGTCGCCGACTGCCACGTTAGGCATAGCCTGTTTGGGCTTGCCCACAACTAGTTCCGTTGGGCTCATAACCTGTTAGATTGAAGTGAAGTAGTGGTGCACTTGTGCACTTAGAGGTAGAAGTAAAAGTAAAATATATTAAGCATTAACTTTCCTCGTTCGTTAATACCTACACATGCATGCGAAACCGACTGCAACTATACCATCTATAGTTCACGTCTATCCCGCTCCGTCCCATCTGTTACGACATCGACAAGACGATGTGGTAATCTCGTCGCCTCGTCCCATATGTCGCAACATCCTGATGGTCCGACGTGGCGATATCGTCGCCTCGTCCCATCTGTCAGCACGTCAAATCTGTTTAGTCAATCAGGTACGGTTGTTACTTACCGCGTAACAGGGTATTGCCCTTGACCTTCACGGCCTATCAACAACAATAGCTTCTAACAGAAAGAACTGCTGTAATACTGGAATGGTCGACAATAGTACAGGTTTCCCATCTTTCGGCTACCGCTCCTTTACCATGACCTTGACTAAAGCTGCTTTAGTGAACGTCTGATTCGCTCGTAGAGTCGTCAGGAGAGCAAGTAGTATACCGCCGCCTTAGTATACGGAGTCGAACTGACATCTGTAAGGAGGCAACTATATAGTGGTACACGAACAAGTGGCCTGCAGCCCAAAAGATTAGCTTCATGGTAAAGGTCTTGTTCTTGTGAAATAAATTGTCTGTCAACGATTTGACGATGTCCGGACTTTGTCAGGAATGATGGCGCCCGCTGGTAAGCGAGGCATGACATCACATTGCAGAACCTGCATCTTCATATTTTTACCAATGCAAATAAATGCTCGCGTACGATTCGCAATTGCTGTACGGATTATAACATTCGTTAATTGTTGATGCACGGCCTTTGCGATAAACTCGTTCTTTATATAGAAAGCGAATCTTGGTATAGAGTCGTAAAGGCTACTTACTACACTAAAAACACGCTTTGGTGATGCACCATTACCTTCTTGGCGACATCGCCTTTCCAGCTTTGCTCCATCCCATTATTCTTTTTTCATCCTGGACAAGAGTCAATAGTAAAAAAATTCCATACCATGAAGATCGCTGGCTTCCTGTGTCGGTCGCTCTGGCCGGAATTTCTACGGTTGTAAATCAAGTAACGGCCCAGGAAGGTGGTTTTGCTGTATCGTTGAACTCATGCCAGAGTTTGAAGAAGGTCGATCCCGACGACATACGACCGTTTCCAGCCTCCCGCCAATACAACAGTGAAAAGGCTGCCATTAAATTCAAACCGATGCTCAACATTAGTAACGGTCGATGCGTCCCGTACCCTGCAGTGAGCAAAGATGGTAGTTATGTCGAAGGTTTTTTTGAGCATAGTAAATCCGCCAATTACTGCAAGGGAAATCAACATGGATCTCAAATTTACGGGCGTGCAACCTGGTACAACGAGATATATGTCATCGTGTACACATGGTACTTCTTAAACGAATGGGCCACTTCACGCCAAGGCTGGCAGACTTGTGCCTTGTGGGTCGACAATCCTGACAACGTATCCCCGAACATCTTGGCTGTGTCGGTGTCGTCTCCTAATCGCAGATTCACGAAACACCTTTATCCAAAACCCCCCACAGTGGATGGCACGAATGTAAAACTCAGGTATTTTCTGAATGACTGGGCCATGCCTCTCTTTGAAGTCGAAATCACTGATCTTAAAGGTGGCTTTCAGGATCTGATCATGTGGCAGCAACTTACGGAGGAGGCTCGTTGTGCTCTTAATCAAACGAGCTATGGCAACAGGCAAATGCCCATCAATGAAAACAACTTTTGGACCACCCTGGAAGAAGCGTACCCTTCTGAGTGAGGAGAAGTCTGTCGGTGTACAGGTAGTAGCTAACATCATACGAGAATACAGCATCTTATCTTGTACTCATGCTTCTGCTATGAGCCTTACTGAAATTGTTGTACAGTAGTCACATTGAAGGGTGTAGACCTTCCTTACACACGATCGCCCTGAATGTATGTATTCATGTATTTACTACAGCGCTCTCCAATGCTTGCAGCGCGTGTCGCTTATAGCGTAAATTATGTCGTGATAAAGTGCGAAGTTGACAGTTGCTGGATGACAAGTTTGATACTTGCAACGGCATCAGCGCGAGAAGACAAAATCGTATAAGCCTCGAAATGTACAGACTTGCGGCGCGGATTCTCGTCGAGATACCTCGCTGTTTTTTCTATCACGACAGCATCGAGAAGAAGTGGCAGGCTGAAGCTGTCAAAACTCCAGCATGGATCATCAAACGAATCACCAAATCTACGACGATCAAGACATGCAAGGCCAAATCCAAAGAACGTACAGGTATTCGGCTCACTCGGCTACGAAGACATCGCAGATCTGGAATGCCGTAAACTCGATGGCCTACGAGGTTTCATAACATGAGGAGGCAAATGATTTTTTTTGAGAAGAACAGACCGTCTATTTCAAACATTAAGGATTGGTAAGATGTCTGGAGTGCTTCTACCAGGACTTCGTCATTCTTCGCCTCGCTAGCTCAATCTGCTGGCTCGAGACGTCGGGCGTCACGGGGGACACTCCGAAAAGGGCACGTGGAATCGGTTATCCAGCCCAAGGTGTAAACAGTGGCTCAATGATCGCAACAAGCGCCGGGCACCACACCGATCAGTCCCGATCGACTGCTGATGCACCTGGACGGGCCGATCAATTCACGTTCTTGGCAAGTTCACTTCGTGGGACCGAGATTCGCGCTCAGCGATCGAATCGGCGTCTTGAAGGCTGACGTAGAATAGCAGGAACTATTGGGGAAAGAGGGAATGATGACCGCGGTCGTCGATCCTCTCCCCCCGGGGGTAACAGGGTTGGTGCTCCCCTTACGGTTCATAACGCTGCGCTTGCCCTCCATAGCGCACGCAGCAGAGGGAAACCTCCTCCCTCTTTATCCTTGGGCCTCCCGTTGGAGGGACTTCCCGCCCTGGTCGGAGGAGGCCGGTTGACCGGCTCTTTGAAGGTCTTCGTCTCTTGGCCGTTGTTGCTCGAAGGCGCGAATTGGGAGGTGGGGCAAACGATTTCATTCAACGTTTCATACTAGCAAGATGTCTAATAGATTCTAAGCCCTCTTGATAAGCAGCGCCGTTTCCTCGTTCGAGTCTAATGGTAGTACGGGTATAGTGACGGCTATCCCGGTTGTCTGGGCTATTGCGCATTGACAGATGATCAATCACCTTCAGTTTTTTTTCATTTTGACTCACCGGCACTCTTGCTTCGCTACAGCTCAAAGTTGACTCATGCTAGTTTCCCAGAATTCCTTTATGCTGCCGTCGAATGGTCCAGAGCTAGCTTGGAATCTACATAATAGGTTAAATGATATAATAAAACTTTAAACAGTGTTTGTCGTAACATGATTATCCACAACCAATCTGTACCAGATTAACGGATCATCACTTAAAACTTGCTTTCCAACCGTCGACACTGTCCTTCGACACAACGCTTATATCTTGCTCTGTTATCGTCGACAGTTAATTCAAACCGATTACTCACATGCAAGAATTTTCGAACAAGAAATCGGGTGAGCAGATACAGAGAGAGAGGTTCAGATAGTCTATTTTCACGGTGTTAACTATGTGCAAGATCTCTGGAAAGTCCTAAGCCAGGATATCAGCGCCGGATGGCCCGACGGTATATCGTGGCTGACCGCCGTAGAACTCGGTGGCTCTCTAGGATCGCGCTCAAGCAGTTAAATGCAAGCATAAAGCAAGGCACCTCGTGTGGCTGACGCAGTTTTTCGATGCTCCCTCTTTGCGATTGCTCGGAGCTGACAAAGGCACGAGGCCCAAAAACTGGCGATGCTGCTGGGAATGTGGAGTGTGACAGCCTTGAAGACGGCTGCATTCCTGTCAATCCAAATTCGTGTTTGGCATATCGTCGCGAGGACATGCCAAATTTGTGTCCAGACGCGTTCGGCTTCTTTGGCGTCATCCTGAAATCGGTCCGCTAGGATTTTTGTGCGGTACTCGGGTATGCTGTCAACCCGTCGACTTGCACATGCCCCTAGAAAGTTTTGGGTCACTTGGCGGGTGACGATTTGCCCGGTCCAGTGACCAATGAGCTTTTTCCAAAGCGCTGCAGCGCAATCACATTCCCAAAACAGATGGACAATGGTCTCCTTCCTGCCGCTGCAATCCGGCGTCTTTTTGCAACTATTGCGTTCGATTCTCTCGGCGTGATACAAATTTAATTGTCTTGTCGCCACCCGGTACCCTGTCCAGACTTGATATGGGGTGAGACCATTACTATGATCCCACACTTGCGTCGGTGTTTGCTGGAGCGCTGCGCGTTGCCATTCATCTGTTGTTGCCGATTGTGAAAGGCGATCAACGAGGGCCGAAAGTTGACGGGCGAGAACTTTTTTGTGGGACCGGAAGGCTTGCTTGCCTAAGGCCTTCGTGATGAAGTGATTCGACGTTGTGTCTGGAACAGACCAAGGGAACCGATGAAGCTGCGGGTGCGCCTCGAATACGAGACCCCCTCGTCGAATAGCGCGCCCAATCGCCTGTCGGTCAGATGGTGAAGCGTCAGTGAGCTCCGGCAGTAATCCATGGCAAAACCAATGGATCCCATCACCAGCTTGGTGCAAAGTGACGGGGCGGGTTTCGCCGTGTTCGATCTCCGTTAAGTTGCCCACGATAATGCCTTTACCGAGTATCTTCCAGCGATAGCTTTTCAATTGTGGTGGTGCCTGTCGAAGGCGCAGTGGCGGTGTCGCGTTTAATTCTGTCCCGATGGGTAAGTCCGGGGATGACAATAGGAGGGCTGTTACCCACCGTCGAAGTTTCGCGTCCGAATGGGAACCGGGTTGACCCGGAGGTATAGGGACCCGCATGACGAATTCCGCTGGCCCCGTCCGCAAGATGTGAAGGTGTTCGAGGGTGCAGTCTTCAATCCTATTATACTTGGTCCTGGACAGCATGTTGCCGCTCTGGTCCCGAATCCATGGGTTCGCACTCCATTTGAAGGTGGCCTAGAACCTCTGAATTTCTTCCGGCATATCATTGTACCCCAGTAGGTGTGTTGGGAAAGGGTCAATGAACGACAACACCAATTTGTCCCCATCCCACCAGCTGGTAACTCGGTCAAGTAAAGCCGTCGAGTGAGCACGGATCCTCGCGGTCAACTGGTCGTGTTGGTCTGTGGTCGGGGCGAGTCGTTCGCCCAGCTCTTGCTTCAGTTCCTGTTCTGGCGAGCGTGCTCGACTAGGCGATGCCCGTAGTTTAGCCTGAGCCGGCGTCACGATTATATCGTCCGGCCCCTGACTGCCCCGAAAGGCCCATACCCGCCAGGCATCAAAGTATTTATCCGGTTTCTGAGTAAGCCAAGTCACTGTATGCTTTATGCGTTGTGTTTTGACCGCTACAGAAACAGCCGCTAGCCCGATGCCTCCCGCTTGCTTTGGCGTCACAAGCAATCCAGGATTCACCTTGTGGCGACTGCTCTCCGTCGTTGTCGCGTGCGCCCACAGGAATTGCTTGTAAAGATTGTGCAGGTCCTTTTCCGCCCATCGTGGTAATGCAAAGACTATTGCAGTGAATAATAAAGAGGGAAGCACGATCGAGTTAAGAAGTAATACACGATTTTCAACGCTCGTTGCCACTCGTGTCGCTGTGAGAAGACGCCTTTGAATTTTGTGGATCCTCTGGGCCCAGTTCTTGTTCACTAATTCCCCGGTTCCAATCTCATAGCCAAGGTACCGAGTTGTTTCGCCCGTGGGGACGACATCGATGCCCTCGTATTGCTCGAGCTTGACAGACCGTTATAAAAAGATTAGCTGACTCTTCGACGGCTGAACATGGAGGCCGGAAAGAGCGCCAAATGCTCGTACAACCTAGGTATTTGATCCTTTTTTCCAGAAATAGAGTGGTGTCATCCACAAATGCCGAATAGAGATGGGTCTGACCAGACTGCCCAGGCGCTTGTAGCCCGTGAAGATTGGGGTCCTGCTGCAGTGCAATTCCCAAGACCTCAACGACTAGCAAGAACAACAGAGGTGCTAGCGGGCACCCTTACCGGATTCCTGACCGGACTGGAAGAGGTGTGGAATGACAACCGTTTACGACGAAATTGGCTGTCGTGCCGGTGTGAATTCGTCGGACTAAGTCAATAAAACGCACGTCAAACCCAAACTGGAGTAGAGTCTCGTACATAAATTCTCGGTCCACGGTATCGTAAGCCTTCCGAAAATCCAGCAGCAATATACAGCGGCTAGTTGCTGCTGGCACCTCCTCTTGCTCTTTTGCAGTCGACAGGAGAGCCATCATCATCATAACAGTTTTGGTCATTTTACGCCCATGAACGAAGCCTTGTTGGGAATCACTAATAACGTGAGGTAAAATAGACTGTAATCGCGTAGCCAGTACCTTGGCAAACACCTTGTAGCTGGTTTGTAGTAACGATATCGGTCTATAATCCATTGCGTCGTCCGAGTCTCCTTTTTTACGCAGCGGGATAATTAGCGCTGCTAGAAATGAGGGAGGCAAGCTTGGCCCCATTAAGGATTTGATTGCCGACTTTGACCAGAGCTGGCACCAGCAGCGCTGATGTATCCTTGTAAAAATTGTTGTTTAAACCATCTGGGCCGGCCGCTTTGTGTCTACTGAGCCCATGAACGGCTGAGAGCACCTCTGCTTCGTAATTGGACGTAAGAGTCGGTTGTTGTCGATATCAGTCAGGAGCTGCTCCTTCGGAATCATCGCAAACGACTTAAGAGCAGCTAGTAATTCGGTCACAGCTGTGGTTCGGGGGCTGGAGCTGAGCACTGGTGCCCATTCAGATGCAAACTGATCCGCAATGGA